GTAGCTTAGTGAATAGCCAAATTTTGGGAGCATTTGAGCAGAATTTTTCAAGATGCTACACTACAAGTTTTGAGAAGTGTGGATAACATCTAAAATAAGATAATCACAATTATCTCCGACAATGACGTGGGAAACAAGGCTTTCTTTTTTTGCTTTTAAAGCACTTTGCAACTTATTTTTGTAAAAATAGACAGAGGCAAGTTCCGTTTAAACCAGCTCTGAAGTATTATGCAAAATGGGTGCACTATAAGCTTCTCGGTGCCTTTAAAGGGAAGATTTTACAAGTGAAAACTGATACTTACAAAAGCAAAAAGCTGCGCAGAGAAATGAATGAAATCAAAAGGAACGAATACGATTTTACATCTACCATAGATAGTCCTCATGCGGGCCCCAACCTAATGCTATTGAAGTGAAGGGCAACACATGGAAGCTATGCATCAGTGCTAAAATGTTATCTCGTTGATTTATTGAAATGTCAATGTACACTTTCAGTTTCCGACATCATGTCATCTATTAGTGAGCAGTGATCTAAAGTTTGTTCACTTTTTCCTCCAGATAATGTGCGGCAGACTAAACCTTTGTTTCAGTCTTCATCATCCAGTATCACCAAACCACATCACTTGCCATCTCAGGGCAAAAGGAGTCACATGCTGCTAAAGTCAAAAGATATCTGGCCTTACCAGATGCATCCACAAAAGGTCAGTGCTACAGATTTTGCATTGAATCCTTCTCTCTGTTCTGTCTAATTCAGGATGAGTGTCACATTGGTAAAGGTTTAGATTCTTTGCATAATTTACATCTGCTCTCGTTGACTCATTTTCATCACGAGTGAGTGATTTTCTAGTCAAATAAGCAAGAACGATATTTAGCATATATTTGCATCTTCAAATAAAAAGAGAACATGGAAAGAGAAACAGCTATGTCTGTTTTGTGTAACATAAATTTTCTTTCAAGCAAAATGTTACAAGCCAATTGTGCGAATCTATTCACCGATCTCGCTGATCCACAAACTCTACTGTTATGCTTAATCCTGAAAAGGACACGGAGGAGGTTAGATCCATCCCAGCACATTGGAGAAAGGGGAAATTAAAAAAATAGACAGCTCCCATCTCCGATCCCCAAGTGAAAACCTGAACCTTTTGTGCCTCACAAGAAACATTAGAGCTAAATAGGAAGCACGAAAGGTGGCAGTGGGAAAATTGATGTTTTTAGGGCAAAGTGATCAGTTCTAGCCCACTGAATCTACAAATCCAGACAAATGTACCAAACTTGAGAGTAAAATATTACTGAATAAAACGTCACGATGCAGGTGTCACTATGAAAACGCAGATTATTTTACACAAGTTTGCGAGAAAGCAAATTTTTCAGTCCATCAACCAAGTGAATATTATCAACTAGTTATCCAAAGGGCACACTGTATTGAGCAGTCTTAACAATAGCTTAGTGTGTGAGTGCTGTGACACGGGTACAAGAGGAAACAGTGCTCCATGTGTTCGTATGCTTCCAAATATAGCTTAGATCACCAAACAAAGTTAAACCAACGTCACCGAAAACGGTCTTGGTTGAACAGAAAACGTGGAGGACAAAAGTATGTCATTATGGAAATGTTTACAATAATGTAATGGGCAGAACAGAGCACAGGGAAATTGTATCTAGCATGATTGAACACAGAATCTCAGTGTGAGGCAAGCAGATTCAACTAAAGGTAAGAGTCGTTTTCAGCAGAAATGGGTGAATCGCTAAACTAAGTGGGTTGTTCAAAATCCAGATATTGTGATGAATCGATTTAAGAAGCCATTAGGATGCTGAAATATACAGTGGGAAACAGAGTATGGGGTCAGAATTCCGGTAGCTGAAGGTTTTGAGGGAAAAGGCCAGTGCAATTTTTTTTGAGTTAGAAGGTTGGGGGTTCAAGCCCCACAACGGGACTTGCAACTCATAAAGTCCAAGCTGACACTCTAATGCAGTGCTGGTGGTACTGCATTGTGAAGTGCTATCCTTTGGATGAGATGTCAAACTGTCTGCCTGTCTCTCCAGGTGGATGTTAAAGATTTCGTGGCACTATTCACAAAGAGAAGGGAGTTTCTGACAGTGTCCTGGTCAAAAATCTCCCTAGTAAAATTGGTAACTCATTCCATGGTTGTTTGTGGGACATTGCTGTGTGAAAACTGACTGCCATGTTGGCCACTAAAATACACACAGCCACATCACTTTTCAGTATATCCTGTGAAGCATTTTGAGATGTTTCAACGACGTGATACGGTGCAATATCAAATGCAAGGATGAACAGTTATTATTATGAGCATCAGAGCAAGGCTGTGAGAGGCTAGCGCTCTGAAACATCCATCACTCCAGGGAACAGCACTTTGTGATTTCATGGCATGTGCATATATTTTCAGTAACAATTGTACTCATCTAAAGGGAATAGTATATGATAAATTTTATTCCATTATTACAAGCACAAATCATTTGAATGGCTGCTGCAATGGAAAGCACAACATCTAAACTGTGAAGTCATTCATTTTTCCTTCTTTACTCTCTTGCATGATCACAGGACAGAAAAGTATTTCCTTTATGTCTATATGTCCTTTATTTTCTTTACGCAATAATGGAATCTATTAACTGATATCTGTATGCTGCATGTTATTTACCCATATAGGAGAGAAATTCCATTGAAGTCTACACTTACATTTTTTTTAAGCATCTACCATGTAGAATTTAGCAAATTCTTAAATTCAACCTTAACTTTGAAGCTTTGTTTCCTCGGGTACTTTTCAGAGCTACTGGCTTCAGAATTGAGAGTTTACTAAATTCTGTACGCTCTGAAATATTAAAGATTTAACGCAAATCTAGATCCAGCTGAAATTTCTCTTATCTAATTGCTGTAGTTCAGTCACAACTTTCTTTTAATATGCAAAGATGAACATTTATTATTATAAGCATCGGAGCAAGGGAGAGTGGCTGCCACAAATTCACACGAATAGAGCCAAAGTGTTTGTGGGGCATTTCCAAATCTGAATATTTAACTGGATACAACTGTCAATAATTGTCAAATGCTGTTGAAAATTCCTGCATGATCAGGATTGAGCCAATGGTAACTCATACCTGCTGAATTCCAATATTAACATTCTCTTTGATCGTAAAGAGTAGGAGAAAATATCTCTGGAAAATACTACGCAACTAAATTAAACTGAAACAATTCACAATTAATATAGTGGAATGCTCAGTCTGGTTTGGATACTCTAAAGCATGATTTCCATAACTAATATGTACAATGTGTCTGCCTTTCATTCTCGTAGGGAACTGCATCCAATGCATCTTTGGCATGCCTTTTTTCTTTGAATTTCATGTGAATTTCATGAGATCAAATGTAGTCCACTGAGCAAGGATCACTGGGTACATTAATAATATTCTAGTTCAGAAGAGATCTATTATCATTAATCCAGGTCAACGAAGAACATAGTGGATATTGTTTGACATTCCAATGTGTCATGCAACATTGACACTGATATGACGGCTGATACTGAACAATAGTGCTACTGAAAGCTATGGTTTGAGATAATGAGAGGAGGGGAATAAGCAAATTTTATCCTAATAATAAAATAACCTTCCATCTTACTGTGATCAGAGAGTGACGAGCATCTGTTCAAATTCGCAGGTCTATGCTCATAGAAGGATGGAAGATACGCATTGGCCAATGCTTCCAATCAAGCAAACCTCCCAGCAGTTGGACAACATTAATTTGGGACTAGTGAAAGAACTCGCTCTCAAATGGTTTACTGAGACCCAGGCTCCACTTATTCTACACAATGGAATGCTGCCAGACTGGTTCCATGGCTTCGTTATGAGAAAGTAAGTTCCATTGGCCATGCGTTTCCCCCACCAATGAGCCTGTTCAAATGTAAAGTAAATGAGGTTCACAGTGTAATACTGCTGAGCAGGAGAGAAACTGCAAAACAGCTTCTCTCCAATCAAGCAACAACTGAAAGATAAATTAAGCTAAGTACAGTTGCTGTGAAGTCTTTAACCCAGTATCTAACAATGGTGAACACTATTAGTCACTGCTTTACACTGTAAACCATTGCCGTACACAGTTTACATTCTAACCTGCGACTGTGCATCACTTAAGTCTTGTACTTATATTGAGATTTTATATTCTGTATAGTGGAAATTTTATTCCAACTGTTTCCTGATTTGATGTGGAGAAATATAAAATAGAATTTGTTTTAAAGCTTTATATAAAACTGCTATATTTAAAACTGCCTTATAAGCATATATTAGATACTTTCATTTGAGAGCTACAATTGGACTAATAGGCACCAAATGAATTGTATACAAAAGGGCTGTGTAGGTTATTTCAAATCAGCAGGTTTTAAACATTAAAATGACCGAAAGATACAAGTAACAGATATTTCTGTTAATAATAAACTCAGTAATTGATATAATGTCATCACTTTGAAAAGTTTCAGTCCTATTTATAACATTTTTGATTATATGATAATTGAGTGAAAACATATCTCCTAAAATGTTGTCAGTAAATTCCAGAAAACAAAAAACTAACAATTATCATTCTTTCGTATTTCAACAGGGAAGCAGAAGATATCCTGAGGGATAAAGATATTGGTTACTTTCTCATTCGCTTGAGTGACAGAGCAATTGGCTATATATTATCATACAGGTAGGTTCTGGATATCTTAAAACTATATTAGACGCATTTTCAGCTCATGCATTACGACACTGAAAAAAAAATGAATATACCTTTATTGCTGTAATATCAAACCTAACCAACTAAAATATATTTCTGAAATTTTTTTAAGAGGAAGTTAAATATTTTTATCTGCTTATCTGCGCTCACGCAAGTGTGTGTCATTGTTTGCATCTAATTTCTTGTTATCCTGTCTCTCCCTTTTTGACTTTACTGTTTCCTTTTACTACTTTATTTCCATTTGACTAATTTTCTACCGCTTCTAAACTGATGACTGACTTTTTCTAACATTAGAATGAGATGGTCTGACACCCAGATTCCTGGTAGCTCAGGAAATGGTGTGTTCAATGGGGGTTGGGGTGGGTGGTGGGGGGTGAAGACAGTGCTTTAAGACAAAAAAAATTGCTAACAACATTCATATCGCATGTTTGCAAGTGTTAGTTGTATGGCAATGGTTGGACAAGTCTAAACTGGTATTTGTTTAACTTTAGGGGCAGTGATCGGTGTCGTCATTTCGTCATCCAACAGTTGAGGAATGGAAGGTATCTTGTTGCTGGTGGCTCTCAGTCTCACGAGAGTCTAACAGCCTTGATAAACTACTACAAGATTGAGACCATTCAGCCGTTTGGCGAAGTCCTCACAGAATCCTGCAGACAGGTAGGGTTTGTTATCACAGATTAACTGCTCATTCTCGGTTTGGCTCTGTCTTTTTCTGCACAACTTGTAAAGCTATTTTCATAGGAACTTGAAAAATACTGGGGGAACAATACTTATAGGAGCTTTGCCCATTCTGATTCCCTTTTTGGCTTTTGTCCGGAATAATAGTATCTGTATTTTTCTACCTGTAACCAGCTTGTAATGGTGTTCATTACTTGGGTAAGGTGAATGGTAATGTGTGTTAAGGTGACAGAAGTGAAAACCTCAGGGAGAGGAAGCTTTTTTTAAAAAAAAATGACCTTTGTCATCATTGCGTTGTAATAAAGTATTTCATATGTAATGGATTATACAAGCCTCTTCAGACATACCTCTGCTCCATGATGGAAATAATCTTTTAGTGAGTAATTTAACCGTTGTTTTCATCAATGATAATATCACTGAGCTATTTATTCCTCATCATCACCAGTCCACTTGCCAAAATTACCTCCAACCCCCACATTATACAGTTACACATCATTCTCGCCTCCTCTATCCACCCCCGCTCTTCCCCACTCAGTTTCTAAATAATAGGTCAGCACAGTAGATCTCTGTTAAAAATGACACAAAATTTCTTTAAGAAATACCTGCATCCTCGAGCAGTCTGAATCCATTTCTTAATTGTTTGCATTTTTATCCAAAACCAGTGAATGACAGCTAGATAAAAGACTCTGATTAAAATGAGTTTTTCCCTTTTTGAATAATTATTTTGTTTCTGAACGTAATCTCACTCTGTGTTACAGTATAACAGCAACGACCTGTATGACCAGATTGCTATCAGTCCTTCAAAGAACTTGTATTCAGGAGACTTAGATTGCAAAAGCAATGCAGTCCGAAGACAAGCATATCAAAGTCACGCACAGACTGAGGAAGGTCACCGAAAACCACCTGCAGTCCCTCCAAAAACTAAGAAGAGACTGCCAGAGAGAAGACTGAATCATTCATTGGAAAGCATGCCCTCCAACAGTGAGGTAAGTGCTCTATCAGTCTGCATTGTGTGAATTATATTTGAGCTAGGATTGAATTGGTTGCAATTGCTCCTCTGTTGGCTCGGTTGACAAATGATAAAGACTTTTATCATTCCATATGAGGTTGAGCATTCTCAGTTCACTTTAGATTGCACCTGACATCTTTATATTACTTGGTTACTTTGAATTGTACTGAATCTGGATGCCCGAATTGGGAAATCTTTCCTTTTCCTTCCCAGCATTAAGATTCCTCTCTTTGTTGAGGACACACATTCCAAAATCAAAGTCTTTCTTAAAAAAAACAAAACACAGAAATACAAAAAGAGTGAATTTTTAACTAAATTACAATTCTTTGGACGGGTCTAAATTTACTTTTGGTATTGTTTGCACAGCTTTCAATGCTTAACTTGTTACATGAGTTGTATAGCGAGCTTTACCATTTGTTGATACGATGTCAAAGGGATACTTTAGCTACATGGAGGCTGATGTTCTGAATCTCAAGATAAAATTGGGATATGTCTTAAGACTCTTCAACTGAAATAAGTGAAACAGCACAAAAGAGACAATTCACAACCAATTTGTCAATATTGTTTCCTGGAAAAATGTTTAATCTGTAAAGAAGAATTATGCCCACAAGGTATGCAATCACTACACTTTATAGTATATCCTATAAAGCGCTTTGTAACATCTTTCCAACGTGAAGGCACTATATCAAGTGTAAGAATTATTATTATTTTTATTATCAATCTCACAAAAATATTAATCTACTTTTAAGGATTCTGATATCGCACCACCTTTGCCAACTAGAACAAACCTGGCCTTTGAGGTAGATGTTCAAGACCAATTTATGTTCACATCCGTTAAACCCCAAACCAAGGAAAAGCCACTGAAATCAAGGTCGACTGAAGATATCCCATTCAAAGAAACTTTAAGAAATCCTCTCTACAGCGGAGAAACAAACACCAGAAATCAATCTTTCAACAAGAAAATGAACCCGCAGTCACAGGTGAAAAGCAGTATAATTCCGAACACCCAGCCAATATATAGTCAAGCATTTGAGCCAAAACAAATCAAATCGGCATCAGTTTGTGTGTACTCTGAGCTGGACTTGAAACATTGCAGAAGTATTTCAGCGCCCACCGAAGTCGAAAACAATTATGCCACAATCTCACCCCCTGTTGAACACATGAGACATCCCCTGGAACGCAAGCATCTGAGTTTGGGGACGCCACCAACCACACCACCTCGCTTGTCTCCCATCTTAAATAACAGAGCCAGATCTTCCCCACCTCCTGAATCAACACTACCACAGAAACATGGAGTGAACCAGCAGCTTCTGCATAATTTTCAACCTGTTTTACATCGACATCCTGGTCACTTTGATGATCCAGTGTATGCAAAGGAGCCAAATGAAGTGCTTTATGCAACATCCCTTGGTGTGACACACCAGAAGAAATATAACACATATGAACAGATTCCTGAGGGATTCTCAAAGCATTTTCAGGCAAAGGCAACGACTGCTGACAAGGTAATGACTGGTCTGAAATGCTAATCAGCATGTTAGTCACTCACAAATCCGAAAAGGTGCTTTAAAACTCCCTAAATATTGACCGAAAGGTCAGGAAAACAGGAAAGGAGAAAGATTGTTTTAGGGAAGCTGGAAATGGATGATTTAGAATTTACAATAGGTTATTGATAATAACTTTTTTATTAATTTGTTCTGAAAAAGATACGCAGGTTAGTAACATTGCAGTTACCTAATAAACTATAGTACAGCATAACTATTGTCATTTGTAAACACAAACTACTGTATGAAGCTGGAAGCTAGTGTAAGCATGGGGTCACAGTGGAATATGCACAAAGCAGCCTCTCCTACAGTGGGCACAACGTGCCCTCAGATTGGGTGTCATTGACACAATTGATAATCCAAATCAATAAAGGTAATAGGAGGAGAATGTGGGAGGGTTCTTTGTCCGAGACTGGTCCTGGATATCCCCCTCTTTTACATTTTACATGAAGATATTTACATGGATAGATATTTGTTAGGTCAGAGTATCAAGGGATATGGGACAAGGACGAATGATTGAACTTGAGGTACTGATCAGCCATGATCTTGTAGAATGACGGAACAGGCTTGAGGGGCTGCATGGCCTACTCCTGTTTCTGTGCTTTTGAATATTTTCACTCATAACCATTTCCCTTTTATCTTCCACAGGATGAAAAATGGAAAAGATGCTTTCAAGATCGAAAACACAAATGAAAGAAGAAAACTGCTGCATGCATCACATTCCTGAGATAAGCTTGTGGCATTGTGAATTATGCGGCCACCTGTGATGTATCTTCTACAACCCATTGGTCTCCGGGAAATTTCCCCGATGAACACAACACTATGCTGGAAATGAATCCAGTGCTTTAAAGACTTTTACATATGGACATCTCTCCGTGGCTCTACTCTAGTCTACTGTTTCATCTGATGGTAGCTTTTAATTCCTTTGTGTCTTTTATAAAAATGTATCACTAATTAGAATACACACCACTAGCCAATATTTTATCAATTTTCTATTCTTAACGTATAGAGATTATATTAGGCCCTCTAAAACTTCAGTCTGGTTTGGATACTCTAAAGCACAGTGATGGGTTTCCACATGTGTCAGACACTCGGCTGACCAAAAAAAATTAAGATGACACTAGGATTGGCACTATTTATCATAATATTCATTCATTACATTTTCACTTAAAAAGACAAAATAGTGTAAATTTCTCCCCAAGCAATGTGCCACCTTTCGTTCAAAGGACAGATGAGCTGTTGCCAGGCTCCTGCCGGTATTGCCCTTAACCAGCTACAAATGAGGTGTATGTGGACAACCTGGAGTAGGTCTCCCTCTCCTTCTCCCATCTTCTCTGCAAGGTATTGCTCAGCCTTTGTTCAATGACTGAAATGAGAATGGGAATGCACATGCTTATGACCTCCATGGTGCCACAGTGCACTGCAATGCTACTGCTTGCGTCAATGACATTAAACAGCAGCAATTAATTTTAATAACACTGGAGAAATAGCATCGAGGAAACTTCACAGTCTAGTCTTCTCTTTCTAAGGCATAAGCGGAAAACCTGCTCATTAGATGACTTGTAATCTGAACACCTAGTAAGGAAAATGATGTGGTTGAATCAGATTGATTTCTAAGAATGGCAATCGTTCGATGCATCTTGCCTTTAGAAATCTCTATTTTTAGTCATTTAGTACATATTAAACCTCAGCAATTGTGCTGGAAGCAAAGCTGAGATATTTATTTTCGAAAGTAGTTTCTTCGGAAGGAAACAAGTTTTTTTTTGTATTCATCTTTAAGAGATTCTAAATATTCTATTTTAATTATTCACATGTATTCTACTTTTTGCAACATTGGAAAATTTGATTATTTTTCTCTCTTTGAACTGTGAGGATTTTCAAGATTTTCGGGGTGGGTGAAGGGAATTGATTTCCAAATTGTTGAACAATAAGCAACGTGGGATTGTGAAAGGGAGCTTGTGAGCATTGCACAGAGCAGTCACAGCAGAGAGCTGATTTGGCTTTTCTGTACATAAAGATGGAATTGCTATTATTAGAGAGTTAATTGAATGCCGCTCATTGTGCAATGATATAAATGCAGCTAACATCCCCTGACATGAGCCACATCACTGTATCCTGCCTTGAGAACACCAATGGAAAGCTATGCAACTGGCATTGCAATGGAGAGATTTAAACCTAATACAGAAAGTACAGTCCTTTAAAAAGTGTAAATATACGTATTAAAAAAACTGTTTATGATGAAACTCCTTGAAAAAAAAGCTGGACAAAGCTAAGATCTTTTAGAATTTTCATGTGTATTAAGTTCAGTTTATTCCTGCTCTGTATTTATATAATTGTGTGTATCTATTGTATGGATCCAAGCCTCTGTATTGTGTGATGGATGCCTTAGCGTGAGTACAACTGAGAAAAGGAAATAAATATTTTAAGCTACTTCAATTTTGAATGACACTTAACTATTTGGGAGGGGAATGTTCCTTACTTGAATGAATACATTTAAAATTTGTTTTACTTGCTGCCTGCCACACTTTGTGCAAGATCCACTTTAAACATTTGTGAGAACACCTTAGCAGTACTGCTGTGCCATGCAAAGCAGCACCATCCAAGGCAGATCTCATTACCGTCATGAATCAAATCCAGGGTGAAATAATTACTTATCTATTAATATATACTTTATTCAAAGCATAAACCTCAAAGCTAGACTATGCATGGGCAGGTTGTATTAATACAGTACTTACCAATAAAGAGAAATTTCCGTGCATATTTGAAATTTTTGGTAGTTTGGTTTAGCTAACTTAAATGTTGTGATGGGTTTTAACATTTGGCATGTGCTGGGCTGAGATTAATAATAAAAATTAATAATAATCCTTACATATTCCTCAGCACCTACGGAAATCCTCCCAACACAAAAGGTGCTATATAAATGCAAATAAACCTTAGGATGTCCTCCCGACACGAAAGATGCTATATAAATGAAATTTGTTGTTGTTGTTACATTTGATATAGCACCTTTTTACGTCGAAAGTACATTTCAAAGTGCTTCAGAGGATATCCTGTAAAGTGAAGGCGAACAAAGTGGCTGACATTGAGTTAACGCCCGTAGAAGATGTAAGAAATGATCAGACTCACACAGTTCAATTTGGTGTCATTGTAAGTTAAATGTGTTTGTACAAGTACAGAAACTGGCTTTGAATTTTATTGCCTAGGCCCTTTATCAATGACTTTCCCCTCCATTATCTGTGATGTGCAGTCACATAAGCCCTAATTGCTTCACAGCACAACCTTATCAGTCAATATCAAGTGGCTCAATCAGTATCAGCTGACATAACTAGAAGCATAGCTTAGACCTTGGAATGTTCTCATCACCCTGGTCTGAAATACTCCAAGAGCCACTTTACAGGATATTGTGTGTTTGATATAAGGCTTTGGCCTTTGAAAGACATCTGTGCACTCTCAGCAAAATATATATTTTAAGGGGCACTTTGTATGATAAAGTGGTTGTTTTGCCTCGAGCATTCATGACATTTTTCACAATTTGTGTCATGTTATCTTTTGCTCTTTGTTATTCCCTAAAAACGAAAAGGACGTACTTCTGCTTTGACTTGAGTTATTATCCAAAATTTTGATACAGACCTATTCTGATGTTGGGAATGAGGAACATTGCTGGGACAGATGAGGAGGCTTTAGACAGGACAAGTTCATCAGTGGCACAAACATCAACACTTATAATAATGTATTATAATGCTCACCTTTATCCTCTGACTCAATAAAGCACATTTCTAATGGCGCCACTGTTTCTTTCAATATTTATTATTAAGATTATTATTGTTATTATTATTAAATTTCCTTATTTTTTGTGGAACATAGATGCCTAAAATTACAATTCTCCAGATCGATTTGTGTGCAGTTGCACAAGAAACATTCAGGTTGTTTCAATCTGTTTCAATAAACTGTAGCCAAGGACTTAGCTCTCTTATCGGATTACCTTCTTCATAACTCAAATTGTCACCATTTTCTTGAATTTGAGGATATCCAGTATCTGCAGTTTTAATGGAAATTAACAATTAAATTCCAAAATAAGCATTCTCACAGATTAGACAGAATATTTTTGCTGCCAAACCTGATAGTCTAATGTTATATCTCAGCCAAGTGAATCAATCTTGCAGCTTTAAAAGCCATTTTGCTAGAAAACAATACTTGCCCTATTACAAGGAATCTGACCTATATCATAATACCTGGACTGCATGAAGTTGCTTCAGTGGTATCTGTTCCAGGGAGGAGATGGACAGTTTTCAGAGAAGCTCCATTGAGGTCATTCGCATTGGGTTCATAATTCTGTCATTCTCCAGCACTTGCATTATAAAACAATGGGAGTTCATTAGATTATACACTGTGTTCAAGCAGCCCCTACCTAGGTTTAAGAAGTACTGAATCACCATGATGAAAGTAAGTGGTTATAAAAATGTTTAATTGCACGGGACAATAAGATATGAAAACACAGAAAGACAATTGTGTTTTTCTTGAATCCTCGAACTATGAGCCGAGCTTGTTATGTGAATTACTGTAAGGAGTTTCTTTCAGAGAGAGAGATACATTTTATCTTTTGATTAGATTTCCTATCTTCCTTTACCATCTCATACCATGTCTTTGTGAAAAGAAATGTCATTCCATTAAAAGGTTGCGATCATACACTTGACGATTACAAATATTACAAGATGGTTGTGAGTAAGAAAGAGATTGTCACTGGTAATAACATTAACAATGGGTTGCCAATAAAAAGTCAATGTTCAGTGTTATTGAGTATTAACTGAAAGAGGATTGCTGTGGGTGATTGTGCATCTGCACATATACACATAGAGAGATATGAGAGGATAATATAACTGAAAGTGATTACGAGGCAGTGCAGCTATTTAGGGGTTCAGTTTATCTAATGTCAACAAGAACAAAAATGATCTTCTAAGACCCAAAATTACAACTTTGATTTCAATGAAGAAGATATTCTCAGATCTGAGATTATTGATCTTATGGAAGTGGCTCTCATTATAGACACTCATGGGTAGTGAGCTCTGTCACTGCTGACTGGTTATACTAACAAATAAGTCTTAATAGTCACTTCAATTTATTAAACAAAAATCCATAACTATTACCAGGAAATAAAAATGAGTAAATATACAGTTATATAGTTCTACATTCTAAAATATACACATCACCAACAACTTGGATTTATATAGCGCCTTCCACGCTGGATGGCATCTCAGAGCGTTTTACAGTAACGGATCCCGGGACCGAGCCGGGGGGAGTGGGAGGAAGGTGACCAAAGATGCGGTCGAAAAGAAAGGTCTTCAGCAGAGACCTGAAAACGGGAAGGGAGGGAGTGAGACGAAGGGAGTGAGGAAGGCAGTTCCAGAGCCCGGGCATAGTGGCTGAAGGCACGGCCGCCGAGGGTGGAGCGGAGGACTCGGGGGACAAGGAGGAGGCCAGACCCGGAGGAACGAAGGCAACGGGTACTGTTTTGAGGAGAGAGGAGGTCAGAGAGGTCGGGGGGGTGCAGAGACTTGAATACAAGGGTGAGGATCTTAAAATCGATCCTCTTTGGGACAGGCAGCCAGTGCAGTCTGGCGAGGAGGGCGTTGGAGTAGTCCAGCCGAGGGATGACAAAGGCATGGACCAGCGTTTCAGCGGCTTTTGGGGAGAGGTATTGGTGGAGATGAGCAATGCGTCGGAGGTGGTAGAAGGTGGTGCTGGTGAGGGACCAGATGTGGGGGAGGAAGGTTAATTGGGGTCGAATCTGACGCCTAGGTTGTGTACGGGTTCGTAGAGTTTTAGGGGGAGTTCGGGTAGGTGGAGGAGGTGAGAGCGATGAGACTTTAGACGTTGATTAGAGCCAAAGAGTATGGCTTCCGTCTTGTCAATGTTCAGCTGAAGGAAGTTTGCGCTCATCCAGCTCCTGAGATCTGACAGGCAGGCTGACAGAACATCAGGGGACTGGGGGTCGCAAAGAGAGGTGGAAAAATAGAGTTGGGTGTCATCTGCATACATGTTGAAATGTATCCCATGTCTACGGATGACATCCCCAAGAGGAAGCACGTAGATCAGAAAGAGGAGGGGGCCAAGGATGGATCCTTGGGGTACCCCGCAGGTAACCGGGTGAGAACGGGAGGAGAAGCCATTTGTGCAGATGTACTGCTGGTGGTTTGTGAGGTAGGACTTGAACCAGGCGAGTGCGGTCCCACTGAGGTGGATGACGGAGGAAAGGCAGCGGAGGAGGCTGGCGTGATCGACTGTGTCGAACGTGGCGGAGAGGTCCAGGAGGACAAGGAGGCAGAGGGAGCCCTGGTCACAGATAGAGAGGATGTCGTTTGTGACTTTCACAAGTGCAGTGTCTGTACTGTGGGCAGAAACTGGACTGGAGGGGTTTGAAGAGGAAGTGGGAGGAGAGGTGTGCGCTAAGTTGGTTGGCAACGATGCGTTCTAGAACTTTTGAGAGGAGGGGCAGGTTAGAAATGGGGCGGTAGTGGTTGGGGTTTTAGGGATCTAGGGAGGGTTTTTTCAGGAGGGGGGTGATGACAGCAGTTTTGAGGGAGGCAGGGACTGATCCGGAGGAGAGGGACTGGTTGATGACGTCAGCCAGTAGTGGGCAGAGGAGGGCGGGGCTGGGTGACCAGTAAGTTGGTGGGGAGGGGTCGAGGCAGCAGGTGGTGGGTTTCATGGAGGTGATGGTGGGTGAGAGGGAGGGAGAGATGGGGAGGAAGGAATGTAGAATGGGGGTGGTGGTAGGAGCAGATGATGGGGAGGGTGAGGGGGACAGAGAGGGCGTGGTGGTTGGTGACAGGAGGCAGGTGGATGAGGCTGCCTGGCGGATGTTAAGTATTTTAGAAGAAAAGAAGTCCATGACCTCCTCGCACTTGGCATTTGATATGAAGATTGAGGAGGCCTGAGGGTGGGCACGGAGGAGGTAGTGGGTGGTGGAAAAAAGGATTTTAGGGTTGTGTTTAGCCTCCAAGATGATGTTGGAGTAGAAGCCGTTTTTGCACATGTCAAAGAACGGCAGTAGCTTGGAGATGCTCGGGCCATAGTTGGCGGTAAACTGTCAGGCCAGTTTTCCACCATCTGCACTCAAGCAGCCAGGTTTGGATTTTTTGGCGGGGGAGATGGTTGTTGTACCAGGGGAATCGGGTGGGTTTGGAGATGGCCCTGGATTTCAGGGGCACGAAGGAGTTGAAGGTGGAGGAGAGGTGATCATGGAGCAGTTGGACGGCTGCTTCAGGATCACCGTGGGCGGAGGGCCAGAGGGGTAGGATGTTTGATGATGAGAGGGCCTTTGTGAGGCTATCAAGCTGAGACCAGCATTTGAATTCAACCATCACTTTTAATATGTGCAGAAAAAAATAAGGCACATTTGTAACAGTGGTACTCGGTAAAGCCCAGCTCAATGGGTAGCACTCTCACCTCTGAGTCAGAAAGTTGTGGGTTTAAGCCCCTCATCGGACTTTGAGCTTGTAGCTCAGGCTGACACTCCAGTATTGGTGGTTACTATTCATATTTAACGCCTGTCTGTCTGTCACCTTCAGAACTTTACAGGTTCCAGGGATAACAAACACTTATTCTGAAACAATCAACAATTAAATTGGCTGAGATTGTAAGTCATTGGAGGGTAATGTAGATGATTATCTACTCTAAAAAGCTCACCATTTGAGGTTTAAATAATTTCAATTGAAAAGAAAATGTCTTTCTTAATTTGCCTGTTCAGTGGAATATATCCACCCTCATATAAAAACCAAGTAAGTTCTGACAATGTTATTCTTTTGGAGAAGTTTCTAATATATCCAGCCACCTCTCTATTCAATACTGAGTTAAAGTCAATATTGGGATTGCTAATAGAATGACATCTATATCAGAGACATATCTTAAATCTACGTAGTTCAGAACTGTGAGCAAGAGGGACTAGTCTATCAGAGTCTATTGAAAAATCAACCCCCATTACAATTTAATTACAAACGTTCAACAGATTGCAATAATAATAATAAGGAGAAATCCTCTTTGTTGGCCTTATATATTTACTTCAGCCTGCGTATCTGGAGGTATACTGAAAACATCTTTCAATTTATAAATAGGGATTTCAATTTACAAATTATAATTGCGTTCCTTAATGCAACAACAACAATTGCATTTGTGTAGCACCTTTCATGTAGGGAGGAGTACAAGCTGCAGAGTTCTGGATGATCTGCAGCTTGTGGAGGGACGAGTTAACATAATGCAAGTTATGTCATTGTTATGGTTTCTGTGAGTTAATCAATTATATTATGGAATTTCTGTAGTATCAGCCTGATTACAGATATTTAGTAATAAATTGTTGAACGCATATTGTGTGACAAGGTATAAAGTACATTTTGTTCATATTGATTCTTTCCAGTGGTCAACATGATCAATAAATACAATATGCATGGGATCTGCTGTTATCCTTTCTAAACAAATTATAGTGCATTTCAAATCTTGTGTAACAAACCAATTTTGTTACCTGTAAAACAGCAAATAAAAACAGAGCATGCTGAAAACAACTAATATGGAAAAATGTGACAATCAAATCATCCACTGGCGAGGATGAATGGTGAGGTGGATAATTATCTGCATCGAAAGGCACTTCATTTGAGGTTAACACAGTTCAATTCAAATAAGACGATTCAATTATGGGAGTCTGTTGTACGTGGCTGTATATCATGAAACTCATCATTACCCCCTTCTTCCAATTGTATATCAATACAGAATAACACAAACAACGTAACTCTTCTCAAAGTGGCGATAATCTAAATAAACCTCATTTATTGATTATCCTAACCACTCAATGTGTTGTAGAAAGCAACAATATTTAATCTATGATGTATCTTTCATGGGACAAACTAGTCTGATCATTATCCTGTTTGCAGTACCCACAAGTCTGTATATTAAACTGTTTTTTTGTGCCAAACTACAGCTGCCATTTTGCTGTAGGTAATGCACACAGACATCTATATTTTATGTTGTATGTGATAACCTCCAGCCTGTACCTATACTGTGTGCAATACACACTAGTCTATACATCATGCTGTTCATGCCACACACCAGTATATACATTATGCTGCTTGTTTCTGTGTTACACAGTTTGTGTATCACCCTGTATGTAAAATATTGATGGTTTGGATAACAATGCTAAAATTGCAACCTTGCAATAACAAACAGCAAATGCAAAACAAGTTTGGTCAACAAAAATTTCGAGATAGTATCTCAGCAGTATTCTACTCATATGCAAAGATTCTTTGCACAATGAACATATTGCCTATTTTTTGAATAACTATATGCCCACGTATTACACTCGAACCAGAATTTGTGATCTTGCTTTCAAACAAGGAAGAACCCCTTCCTGAAACATTAACCAATTGCACTTGGCAAGTAACAATTACAGTAAAACCTCCTTCCCACACACATTAAACAAATGGACCTTGCCTCAATAAACAGAGATTAGCAAAAGAAAATATCATTTGTTTTGCAGTCATACAGTTGGGATAATTGTCAGATGAGTAAATAAACAGGTGATGAGAAAGGGATTTGTTTTTGTCAAAAGATGAAATAAATTAAAAACTAGTACTTTAGTTTTGTCTATGAACTTGAATCGAGGAATATGTTCTTTCAATTAAAGTCATTTGTAATTAACGGCAAATGATATTCTCTTTGTACTTTTGAGGGCAATACAATCATAACCCTCACCCTGATCTGTTGGGTGTATGATAGCAATAGGATAGACAGAGCAATCCAAGAACACACCAGACCTATTCATTTGCTTTCAATTATTTATTAAGACAACAAGCAACAGAAAAGTCTTATATACAAAATATACCCCGAAACTTTGAACCAGTTAAGGCCCTGGAGGGAAAAAGAACAGTGGACATCAGTTGTTTACACTTAAGAGCAACAAAGAATAAAAATAACAGAATTTTAAAACAAACATTGCAGAACTGGATTCCTCAATGACTGAGAATATGTACAAGCCGTTAATGTCAGAGCCCTTCCATCGACTGTATTACAGTTATATGATTGTCATCATGCTCCAGCACCTACCAGCACTGGAATATAAAAATGAGAAAGCGGTTTGCAGCATGTGAAAAGAAGGTCACACTCATGCATTTTATGATCCAAATTGCATAGCTGTTAAAGAAACAGTCTTTAGTTTGTCCTTGATGCTGGTGCTGGGCTTTGTTTCATCTTCAGCTACACAGCCAATTAGAAAACCATCGATCCAAACACCTACCAGCGTCGCAATAACATTACAAGCGTGGGTTACCGAAGGCTGACCTGACTACACAAAATAAAAATCGATGCGTTCCTGCAATACATCCAGTCAGAATTGCTTCACTGTACTGTAGCTCAGTTATAACAGGAAATATAAAAAGAGGAACGATACTTCAAGTTTTTAAAGAGCTGTCAGACAATTCATTAAACAATATCTGTAAAGAGAAGCATCAAAATTGTTCGAAATGCTTTCAGGATGAGATTGTTTAGATGATCTGCCATTCAGTAACTGACCTTGAGGGAGTGTTACTGTCTGAGATGTCTACAGCAAGCAGTTGCAAAACTGTGTAGAGATGCTTTGTTGCAACACAAACAAAAGGCTAAGCATCACTACCTTAATGTGGAATACCGGCAAGAGGTTTTAGCCCGAGGATGTCTGTGCTTCCTTGAAGATGTATTACCTGTAGCTTTGAGTTTCATTGCGATTCTTCGCTGATGGTGGCAAAGATTTGCATTCTGTAATAAATTTCTAAAGTAGAATAAAGTACAAGAAATCAGCAGATTTTTTAAATCAACATCCACTCCACAAATGAAGGTTGATCACCATTTTGGTATCTTGTACAATCCAGAGTTGTTTGTCAAATCAATGGTCTGTTAGCCAACAGTAAACATGATTAACCCAACAGCAATCCAGCCGGATGACTGGTGCCAGTCAGTCAAACAGACGTGGGGAAAAAAATAGCGAGCTGTTTTTCTCCAGTTCAACAGGTTTGAAGTTAGACAACTCTTGTATCCATGCACAACAGGTGCAAAACATTACGTTGTCAAAAGGCAGAAGCCTCATTTTCACTTGTATCCATTTCATCCAAATGGGTTCTTCAGATCCTGATATGGAAAGTGCTGTGCAAATGGAATACAAAAACAAATGTAAAAGAGAAGCAGAAAGAGATCAAATGTTAAAATTATTTTGTAATTTTGTTCCTTCTGGGAAAATAGAAGTTTTTTTCACAATTATTTCATGCTTTCATCATTGGAAAACTGTTGACTTTCTTTTCCTACTTTGTTGGGGATTTTTATTGCATAGTTTGTAATTCACATCCTCCTGACAACAATAACATTGAGTTTTTTTTCAGGCCTCTTCCCTCTCAAAAGAGTAATGAAACATTCACAAAAAATCTACTTACTTTTATTACGAGCATTTGCAGAATTACAGCTGGTCTCAAAAATATTTCCAATAAAACAATGCTGATATAATTTTTGCCTGAAGGTGTTTTAGAAATTAAGCAGAGAAAAAGATGATGTAACTATTCCACCGCAAACTACTAGTTGTCTCCCTCCACACCTTTAGTCATTTCTGGGATCTCAGGGGCATGAATAAAGCCTCTGAAACTCAGAAAATGACAGCCCAAGATAGACCAACCAGTCACTGTGAAGCACATTTTGTAGAAACATAATGTGCTAAGAATAAAGTTTCTACCTAAAAATTTGATATAGTTGAAAAATAATTTCCTGTAAATGTGCAAGGATAAGTTCACCATTGAGCCCAGCCTATCTTGCAGCATCTCTTTAATAGTGTATGTCTAATTCCCAATAGGAGCACTATGCCAGCTCTGTCATTGCCTCATTTGTCAGTTAAAGTATTACAGGTCAGTTTGGGGCAGGAATTAGCTTCAGTTTCTGAAATGATTTATTAAGCAATTTCCTAGAATACTGTTACAATTCAGCCTCGCAGACTGAACAGGTGAGTCAATGCCAAGCCTGCTAATGCCACCATTAAGCTTTTCACATGGTCCCAGAGTCATAACGTGAGCAAGGACTACCACTCAGCTTGATACAATGGAAAATACTGAAGTTAGCAAATGCCCTTGCTGCTTCTGCAAGTTCTGCACTCACAGTCACTACCTCTGCTTTGTGATGGGACAATGTTTACCATAAGCTCATATGTTTCAATGCTACTGCCAATCTGTATAGTAGACTGCAAATAGAAACATGAATAAAATGTTTCTGTCATGGTATTAAAGGGTCCTACACAATCCTTAAATGAGCCACAACAATGGTCTAGTACTCTGAGAAAGTCTAGTAGCCTGCGTGAAAGGCACTGTATAAATGCAAGTCTTGTTCATTCTGACTTGCAAGAACAAATCTCCCACCTGAGACCTTTCTCTTTATTAAATGGTCGACAACAACGACTTTAAAGTCAATCTTACAATTTTGTTTAGAGGGAATATGAAAGATGCCTGAAAAGGGGAAATATTAAAGTGTATTAATTGAAGTGTATTAAGTGAAGGGGCGAGCAGGAAAGAGGGACTATTGTCATGTGAAAAAAAGTGCGCAGAGTTGACAGCCCAAATGGCCTGTTTCTATGCTGTAACAGCTATAATTCAACAATGTACTGGAGCTCCAATGCTACGGGTAACTCGGTAGTAAAACATACACGAGAACTAACTTGCACTGGAGATTACTGCTGACCTTATAATTCAGATCTTTTGAGCAGTGCCATCAGCGGGCGACCGGTGGTACTGCAGTCTGATCATTTGAAAGCACCACATCCTGTTCATTTTGCGGAAGCATTGAACGAGAAAACCTGCGAGAACTGCACCCTTACATGATCGTCCTTTCCAACTTGTCTTTGACAACTTGTCATTTGCACACATCACCTAACTGCATCTCTTCTTGCTTTCGAACATCTCTGTTCCTTCCCTTTTGAGAGGTTCTAAAATACATGTAGTTTTTAATATCAATCGCCGATCAGACATATCTGTATTGTGACTTGCCCGTTTCTTTATCTTAACTTACCTGAGAAAGTCTGGAGCTCTGGAGATCACATTCTCAAAATCTGGGTATGCCAGTTTCCCATCACCATCCAAGTCAGCTTCTTCAATGACTTTCTCACAGACCAGAGTTACCTCCTCTGGGGCCAGCTCTTCTCGTGTTAGTTTATTAATGGTTTTTTCCAGGTCCTCCTTGCAGATGAAATTGTCAGTGTTGAAATCTACGGCAGACGAATTTAACAGTAATTAAACAAAACTGGAATTAATGCCATTAATGGGTGACTTTCTGCCAAGTTCCCTCGTTATCCAAACAAGTAGTCATCCAACCGTTTTTTCTCAGCCCTGCTTCCAGTATGCAGTTCAGGTACTGCATTTCCATGCTGACAATCATCTCTCTCTTAGTTGTACCTCCTCAACAATGCAAAACACTTTTAAATCAGTACCCCTTTATGTTGCAATTTTCTGATCAGGATATCTGGATCAGAACCTGCCTGGTGTCTGATTGGGGTCATGATCTTATTTCTTGCTTGATAAGGTGCTAAACTGTGATAATCACAGCTGAGGGGGTTTAGTGGACGTCTTAACATCCTGACAGCTGGGAGTCTGTCTTTTTTATGGATTTCAATCACGTTACCGATACATCCAAAATTAGCAATTAGAACAAGAGGGTAACTCTTCTGACCACTCAGCTCTGCCGAATCAGACAAGTGAAATAGTACCGAGTTCTATATTGTAGTGTTTGAGGAGACAATTAATATTCAGGTGTTAAAAGAATAAAACATTTTTTTACCAGTTACAGGAATATTAGTGAAACTGTTTAATTTATGTATCATTCTTTTTAGATTTAGCACAATGTTGCAACAAGTCTATATCACCGTGACAATAATTACCTTTCACCTGTGGTATTTTATGATGGGTTCTCATACTCACCAAAGAAATTCAATAGCACATCTAAGATTCAGAAGCACAGAAGTGTATGCACTGTGAGTTTGTAATAGCCTAATGCTCCAAATTGACTATAAATCCAGTCTGCAATTATAATTATCAAGAGGGTAGATGCTGATGTGGCTGGTGCCATCAATCATGGCCTTATAAAAAATTCTTCAAATTATTAACCTATCTTTCTAAAATATATTTTCTTTGAATATGTATAAAGGCATATCATTTAAGGTTTCATTTTCCATTTTCAGTGGTAAGCAAATACAAATTCCATTAGTGGGGCCCAGATTCCATACTTCTATTATTCCATTGAAGGGAATTACTTAAGAGGAGTATAATGAATGCAGCAATAGGAAAAAAAAATCATGTTTAATATTAGGACTGTCTAAGAAGCTTACTTAAGATATTTTACTGGCTAGACTTTAGCACATGGATACATAATTAACAGATTAACCTTTGGAAATATGAGAAGGATTATTGAAAGAAAAGAAAATCTTTTGCCAAAAGATTAAATTAAAGTGTGATTTTACCGTAGATTTTAAAGGCATAGATTGCCTTTAGTTCTCGAGGAGCCATTTCACTGAGCACAGAGAACATGTCCACAAAGTCATTGAAACTGAGATTTCCCTGTCCGTCCTCGGAGAAGGCCTCCACAATTCGTTCTCGGAATGGATTTTCCTGTGGAAACATACAATCCTTGCTTTTACCCAATGATGTTTTAACTTCTCCCTCTCATGAACCTTGCCCAACATAATTCGTCACTAAGAAGAGTGAATGATGTGCTCATTAGGATCCAACGGCTAGGACCATTGCAATTTGTAAAAATTAGAACAGTTAAAGCTTGTTTCGAAATGCTAATAAGGAAGAGTGTGGAGATTATGCAGAATTTCAACAGATCTGGAAGCTCTATTTTTTTTAATATATGTAATAATAATCATTACACTTTTAACTAAAATATTAGATGGAGATGTTCAAGAAGAGGTAGATTAGGTGAAAAGGACACAACATCTTTATGTGTTTAAAACCCTTTGGCACCGCACAAGTAAGTATTTGTATTAACTTGTTATATGAGGTACTTTGTTAAAGGTTTAGTCTCCACCAGGCTGAGGAGAGGAATAAAACTGGTATCAATCCCACCAGCTCCAGTAGTCGTGTTCATTAGATTAGTGTCTATCATAAAGATGGAGTGTATACGACTTTGCTAGACACCAACAAACAGTAAATGAAGGATGTGTCGCTGCAACGTTCTAATAAAGATAGGGACTCCAAGAGCTTCTCAGGTGTTAGAACACATTAATGTTTACTTTATCACCTTGTGCCAAGAGAATGATATGAAATTAATTACATATAATGGTAGTTAGAGGGCTTAAATTGAGGATAAGCTGTGCCACTGAAGATAAAGCTATTCATTATCTAACTCTTCCTCAATTTAGCAAGACGCATGGAGCACTTTTGCTAATCAGTCACTACCTTAAGATTTGTATGATTCAATTTCATAACATTGAATATTGATTTTTTTTTCTCCTCCAATTCCATTTTTTTCCCTTTCTGTCTTGAAGGGCTGAATCCTGCTAGCATTCAGCTCTCTGGTTGTTGATTCATCTCTTTATCAAATGGCTATTCTTCACTTACAAAGTCTAAACATTGAGTGTTTATAGGCTAATCAACAAAATTGGTTATTCACTTCATGGCTGTTTGTGGGACATTGCTGTGCGCAAATTGGCAGTCACATCTTCCTACAAAACACACAGTCACTACACTTTACAGAATATCCTGTGAAGCGCTTTAGAATATCCTCCGGATATGAAACATAAGGATTATTATTATTATTCTCAGAGCCAAGCCTGATCCTGTCCTCACTAAAAGGTCCACGCACAAAACTTTGCACTAAAGGTCACAAGAGAGCAGCCAGGAGTAGGAGCCTTGGCTTATTTTCCTTCCCTTGCATAAGGGGCCTGAAGGCAATTATTATTCTCACTCCTCCCTGGCACAGCACAGATCAAATAATGAACATAGGACTTTCCATGTCTTTTTTGGCAAAGTCTGGCACAAGACAGTGGCTTTACTAAAAGAGCAATCAGAGAAGCTATTTTGGACATTTGTTGGTCTGACACATGTGGAAACCTCTCAACATGCACGAGTTTCCAAATCAAATGATTCAGAGTTCCAAATATATATGGTTTCCATTGGCTGCTGCATTTCACCCACAAAATACACAGTCAATTCACTTTGCAATACATTCTGTGAAGCGTTGAGAAGTATCAACGACGTGATAAGGCGTTATTTCAAATGCAAGGATTATTATTATTATTATTTGCTATTGAGTACCTTAATCTGCTTCCGAAACGCCGGGCTCTATAAACTGCTCTCCTCCTTCCCCCAGTCATTGTGGTTGAGTCAGGATGCTATCACAAATTAATTATATCTAAATTGAAGGTCATATCTATCATACAAATGAAGGACATCTTAAAATATAATTTAAATCATTATTCTTTTGGAGCCACAATTAAATACTTTTAGGTAGAGTAGACATACGTCGTGCCATGTATTCTGAAGAATGTTTTGTAAAACAACTTGGGACTGTGCTGGTTAATATGGAATCTGTTTAGTGTGTGCTTTCCTGTATTTGCAATTGGCATACTTAGAATGCATGTCTCCTATTGCAGTTCAATCAAATAATTGCTTATGTGGCCTGCACCAGATTACATGAATGCCAAGGAACTGTTTTATCAAAGGGCCCATAAACTCCAATGAAACAACAGTGGCTATTAGAAGTCGTGCTGAGCCAACGGTACAGTTCAATTTGATGAATCGAGGATAATTGAGCTATATAACAAATAGATTCCTTCTGTTTATCTGAACCACATTGGACTAATAAATTGTTTGCTTATTTCCTGCCTGTTGACACGTTATCATATTTGTATTGCAATACTTTTGAGTAGCCTTGAGATTGCTATTGCCCTTAATGGAAGAATGTGTAGGCTAATTTACTTTAGTGTCTGGTCTGGAAAATGCTGTGTGTAGGAGGGGATTTATTTTATGACTGGGGAACTTGCTGAAGTAGAAGGAATGTTTATAGGAAGGATGGTTTTGACACAACACACAGAAACAACATTTGGGATTAATTTTAACTGGATTATGATTATTATTCATGGGGAATACTCTCCACCTCACCGAGCCAACATGGAACCTTGGTGTCTTGTTCGATCCTCAACTGACTTTTAAACCGCACATTGGTGCCATGACCCTTTCTGTCTTCCCATACCTCCGCAACATTGCCCGCCTCTGCCATTATCTCTCCCCTCAGGCTGCTGAGACCCTCCTCCACGCTTTCATTATATCCAGGCTTGTCTATGCTACCTCCCTGCTCACTGGACTTCCCAACTCTTCCTTCTGTCAGCTGATTGCCCCACTCCTCGCTCGGCTGTACTGGCTCCCCATCCCCCAGAGGATCAAGTTCAATACCCTCATCTCTAAAACCTTCAGCAGTCATGCTCCTGCCTATCTCTACAACCTACTAAAACGTTCCCAACCTGTCTGCTCCCTCCGCTCAGCAGGTACTGGCCTGCTCCACATCCCACATCCTGCTCACTCTCAAAAAATGCAATGTTTCTAACAATGGAAAAGAAACTGATGGTGACATACACTTCATTAATCAAAATCCAATTATAATGGTTCATTAGCTTCTTGATGGTACTCACTTGATTTTAGAGGCTTCCAGCATGAATAGAATAATAATATAACATTTCGTTTGAGACTGAGCTTTGAAAACCTAATAAACATTTTGAAAATGGATAGCAATTGCTAGTATCAAATTAACATCACAGAATCAGTTCCAAGTCTACTATCAAAGCATGACAAAATGCTGAGATGCTCACATACACTTCATTAATCAAAATCCCAAAATCCAATGATGCTACATCTTAAACCTTGGCTTGAAATTCTAACCACATTTTGCTTTTCTGTTTTTCTATCACTTCCCACAATGCTATACTCAAAGCTTCAGCAAATCTGTTACTTTCCAGGGCCGACACAATCCATCATTATTATTCTCAATATGTTGCCACTCAGCACATCAACTTGTTTCTAGTCCTGTTTATTATACAACAGATGTGGTTCCATCACTGTGCCGTGAAATGACATTTCTTTCATTCAGTGTAATTTGTGCCCTGTAGAGGACAGTAATGCATAGCTAATTTATACATTATGTTCCCAATGATATAAAAATCTCCCACTTGTGAAGCATGTCTTATGTTTGACAGTGAGTGGACTGTGCAGAGTTTCCCCATTCAAGTACCTTTAGTTCTGGCATGTTTGTTATGAGTTGAATGGGCAGTTTCACATCCGGCTCATGGGTATAGTCCATTGGCACTAAGTTTGGGGCCAACTCATGGTATCTGCCATGTAACCTGTAAAGAAATGAAAGACAGCCTTTGAGAATCTTGGCAATATGTACACTCATTTGCAACTTGGCTGAACTTGAAACAATGCCAGTTTTATTTCATAATACAGCTGTTCCCAGATTCTAATTAAATCTGCAATCCCTAAAGATGGTGCTTGGCAGCTTCAGCAACTTTACCTTCTTGTAGGAGAGAGACCTTTTGTGGGAGTCAAAAATAAGGGACGTATCCATTCTTAATGGTACTTCTGTATTTATAAGTAAATGGAATGTTCCACTGAACTCAAACCAGTGATTCAAGCTCAAGCCTGGCTTGCTAAACTCTGATCTCAGCAATGCGCTCAATGTACACTTGCTTTTTTCTCCTAATGTAACTGGCAAGAAACTCTCTACTTCACAATTACTTTACCAAAAATTTCCATCAAAAGACAATCCCGGTTACATCATGTCTATGTATTAATTTAGCAACACTTTTATACTATTGGATCATTTGGGTTATTCATTCAATCTCCTACAAGATTTATTTGATGTATCAATCTGTAAATCTAATAGTATTGAATTATTTCAGTTGACAAGAACTTGTCTGGTTCATTGTTGAAATTGTTCCATCACCTATTCTGGTAGGTTCATCTGTTCTTCATGCTGTTTAAGGTGGCCATTATTTCATTTTTAGCTCTCTCTCCTAAATTCTGAAATTAATTTGGCAATCCTCTACCACACGCCCTCCAACGACTGAATATTCTTTTCAAATTCCAAAGACCAAAACTATAGGTAGCTCTCCAAATATGGTACAAACAAAGTCACATCACCTCTCTCAATTTACAAGTCACATATAAGGGTGTGACTTACATGTCACACCCTTAGCTATACATCCACACATTCATTTATTTTTTTAATCGCCCGATTATTGCCTCTGGGTAGGCCATCCTAGCTACCAAAGAAACCTGCAAGTCTTCATTTAGGAGATGACTTCACTGCTCCTCTGTCATCTCATAGTTACTTCCTCTATTACTAAACATTATGCCCTTACATTTAAGCTACATCTATGTTTTAATTCCAAACTATTTTGGCACAACATTTTCAAGGGAAGGAATCAGTAAAATCAACATTAGTTTTCTGTCCAATATCCTAAGATTTGAACTCACTCCAACATAATCATAAACATGTGCCACATGAGGAATCTCAGTCTCTCAGTGTTTCACTGTGTTATACTCTTATGATTAAATTAAATGATAAGGCAGAGATTACTTATTGTAATATGCAGAATGCTTGTTCTGGTTTCTGTGCAAATGCTCAATTCTATCTTCAATAACAGCCCAATCTCTTCAGTTGATTCTATTAAGATTCCTCCGGCTGATGTACATAGATGTCACTTGCTTTACTATAAACTGGCAATAATGGGCATAGATACACAAACCCAAAGGAAAATTTGACCAACTCAACCGTTCGCTTTAATGAACAGTGATTATTATGTTTAACCATCCTTCTTATCTTTCAGTGCAAGGAACTGATTTCATGGCAGTTGAAATAAAATAATAATTTAAACCTTCAGTCTAGCAAATGAACCATTGTCAGTTGGAAGCTGATTGATGGGTTCATAGCAGTCTCTTTTCAATTAAAACTTACTCTCTCTCTTTCCTCTGTTCATCCTTTTCAGGCCTTGTTAGGGGCATCAAGCTTGTGCTGCGTATTTCTTCTGTTATAAGACTGCAGTGTTATTAATGCCAGAGAAGCAGTCTGAGGCATGGAGACGTGAAACACTCCACACTCACAACTGCTTGATGGATTAATGACTCTACTGCTGCCTCCTTATGCTCTCTTAACAGTTTTTTTACTTTAAGAGTGCATGTTGCAAGTTGAATCTTGACATGACATAAATAACGGAGACTGTGCGAAGGTACATGAGATATTTTAGTGTTCAGATGTCACAGTTCAGTAACCCCATAATGCCATTAATTGGAAATTCAGTGTCAAACAGCCCTATGCTAGACACTGTGTGCTACTTATTTCCATTTTTGATAACTAATTTCTCAGTGTCTACCCATTGACAATTATTCCAACCCCAAAACCGACCGAAAATATATAGTAAACTGGCTTGAAGTGAAAACTCAAACAGAGTTCCATTTTTTCTGATGAGCTTACAAACTATTCTTATCTTCTCTTCTAGTCTTTCTGCACGATATAAGACAAAACAATGCAGTGCATCTCCCTCACCCCCAAGATTGGTACTGATCCAGTACTATTATATGTGTGCACCCCTTTCCATTGATTTGCACTGACATTGTATTGATGTGGAAGTCCTTTCTCTCCTCCCCAATACGATGTCAGTGTTTTGAACTGACTCTGTACTTATGCAGTCATTGGTTTTCTTGCTTTAATGCATGCTCTTGAAACAAAAAAGGGTTATTGATATTGAAGATTACAATTTAATGTAAAATTGAATGAAATCCCTGGAATCATCAAGGGACACAGTTAAAGTGCCATTACATTTATAAAGTTAGGAAAGGGTTTAATGTTGCATGAACTACGATGATATAATTTGCATTATTTAATAGAGCACTTGCTTTGCAAGCGAGAGACCTGAGTTCACTTCCAGGCAGGTCAGGGCGAAACCTTGGACAAGTTTCCTTACTCCACACGCCTAATAATAATCCCTCCAAACCCAAAAACAATAATAAATTGGTCATTTTCAATCTACGACTGTTTGTGGGACATTGCTGTACGCAATTGGCTGCTGCGTTCGCCCACAAATATACAGTCAATTCACTTTACAGTGTGTTCTGTGAAGCGCTTTGGGACGTCCTCCCGACGTGAAAAGCGCTATATCAAATGCAAGGATTATTATTATTATTATTATTATTATTATTATCCTCGTTACAAAGATCTCATTATGAAAATGCTGTTGCATGCAAAATTATTGTGACTTGCAACCTTTTCAGGCCCTTTGCTTAGAAAAGAAGCAAGTCCCCTTTAAAACAGTGAGCATCTTTGGAAGAGTCAGACAGTGGATTATGTAAGTGTAGTCAGTAAAAACATATAATAAATCACTGCAGCATTTTATAGCCTGACAGTAAACAAAATACCCATTTATGGGGAGTGCAGATTACCTAAAGCCACAAGCCAGCTAGGCACTATTTATTAATTACTCTATAAAACCAGGTTGAGAACCTGTCAACTAAAATATTTGTTATGCGTCCTATCAAACGCTGGGCAGGTCTGAGGTTTGGTACAGCAGTTCCTTACCACAATAAAAGAAAGATGTCTCAAAGAAGATCGAGTTTATAAGATACTAAATGGAATCAAGAAAGTGTAAACAGAGTAATAATTTCAGGTATGTCAAAGCATCGGGGCAAGAGGTCAGGGTTGTGAAGGGCAATATTTGGATAGACACCAGAGGTATATATCTTTATACAGACGGTAATCGATAGGTGGAATAAGTTACCAGGAAAATAAAGGAACTTTCATCATTGGCCTGGAGATACAAACCCATTGCAGAACCCAACTCTCTTGAGGGTTATTTTTTTCTACTGCAGAAGCTAGTAACTCTGCTTCCAAATTATCATTATTTGTATATGAGCCTGAACAATTTGACTGCTGGGACACTGCAGCTAATCCAGAGATTGATCTCACCCAGTATTCGCTCATGCCTATTGTCAACAGGGGTTGGTGGATAGCAATCAGAAGCAGACTCTGGCTGATTTTATCCAACCTCAAACACCAGTCATTGAAGGCACTCCAGAATGAAATCAGCCCCATTGCAAAGACTTGTGACCAAATCTATGACCTAGCTGATCTACATGGCTCAGTTATTCATTGAACAGAGAGCGATAAGCAAGTTAAATATCTTAGTATAACCTAATAGCCTTAGAATATTTTCAAATAGCACTGGATCTTTCTGAACAATCAACTAACAAATGCTTCTTGACATTAGAAATGGACTTCAGCATGTTTTTCAGTCTTTCTTACACTGAAGTTGATCACAAGTTTGTGTAAAATGCAGTGTAAAAGAATGACTGCTATCAGACTATAAGAAGCTCAGTTTCTCAGCTATAGGTGTCACAGAAAAAATCCTTTCAATGTTAAAATAATAAAATAAAAATCATCCCTGCATTTGATGCAGCACCTTTCATATCAGGAAGCGGTCTCAAAGAGCATCACAGGATTTATGCGATGTGTAGGGACTGTGTATTTTGTTGGCAAATGCGGTATCAATTTGCATACACTATTGTCTCATATTCTATGGCTTCTGCACTTATGATAGATTGGTGGATAGTGATGTATCTCCATTTAAAATTTTCTAACTTTCTACACAGTCTCAAACTCCTCAGGCTAAGACAAAGTGTTTCAAGTTAGGGTAAAAGTACAATATGCTAATATTAACAGACTGTCTGGAGCTTTCTCAGTTTAAGAAGGTTAATGTGTAAAAGAAAGCCTCTTTGATGATATTCCTTGCATTTGATATAGTCCCTTTCATGTTGGGAAGATGAACCTTCTATGTCAGAGGGGAGAGTGCGTCACACTGACACACGTGATCTGGAACATATTCTCTACCTTGAAGTATTAAGGTAGGTTTGCTGTCCGTTTACGCTTCAGGAAATTCATCATTGCAAGGATGTGCTTTAAATCAGTCAATTCCATATAATGTAAAGTTCTCTCAGGGGTGGCACAGCTCCATCTTGTTCAGAAATAAATCTACATCCCCCGGTACCATGAAGGTTGCTGGACTTCATCCATTATGTTGCAAAGAAGCTCTACCATTTGTTCTCTGCGTCACTTGCATAGATCATCATCGGCCGTCAGTAGTTTGTCAGATGTCTGTTGAGGCTTGTTAAATCAGAGAAAACTGACTCCATGCAAATCTTGTTAAAGGTTGCATGTCATTTGGTGGAATGGGTAGCACAATTATGCCTTAGCTGTTGCTATAGTGACACGAGTTAGAGATGAACAATTAAGTACAGAAGTAACAGCACACATAAACCATATTCATCTGCATTGTAATCTTTACACTCA